TCCTTCTGTTCTTTTCAAATTCGGAATTTATGTTAAGTTTACACGATTTATTTGAATTGATCTCCGAGTTGTGTAACAGCTTATACATTAATACTTTTGAGGTGATTGTATTCTATTTTTAGGGGTAATGTGGAGATGACTGGAACGTGTTTGATAAGTAATGAAGATAAAAAAGACAATCTGTAATCTGTCACATGTTACGAATCTGGAGCCTGTAGGGATTTATAATCACATAATATAAGTTCAAGTATTATCGTTTATGTGGAATAATTTATCTGCGATTATAATGTCATACATATATCATCAAAGATTTATGGATTAATGAAATACTTGGATCATAGAGACTATTTTCTGGCGTGAAATATTTTATGTCAATCTACTGATTCAAACATCATGAACTCTCCTGGATCACGGCCACAAACACGATCATGTACACACGTGACGTAGCCGGGATAGGATTTATGGCATTCTTTTCCTCAACTAAATCTGCTTATGACCTTTATTTTCATTCTAGATGAGGAGAATAGGAAATTATGGGCACTGGATTGAGGACCTTACTAAAAGTGTTTATGTGCTATTCAAGTAGGCCATCCATAATCACTTAACCCTAGTAGCTAGTTCATGGACTTTTACCTTATCTTAGCTGGATCATTTAATTAAGTCGATAAAACAATTGAAAGGCTGATATAATAGCGTTGTAATATGTTGCTCATAACTCGATTATATATGAAATCATTATTTCCTAACATAGGCTTTGCGACATTTCTTTAATTAAAAAATTACCTCCATCCATAATAGTGTATTTGGTAAAGTATAAAGCAAATGTCAATGGAGTTGACAACGGAGTGTTCGTAGTTTTTAGAGATGATTGAATCATTGCATTAAGATAAAGAACGGATGAAAATTAAAATTAAGGGATAAAGAATCTCAAAGAAGTTTATTTCTTTAAATTTTATTATATTCTTCTTCCTTTGGAGATTGTATCTCACAATGTTGTAGGTTCGGTTATAGATATGGTGTGTATCAGTGTATCGCTTATTTTTTAAGTTAAAGAAAATGTTGTTTGATTGTTGGTCCTTGTGACAAACAGGGTTGCCGAGGAGGCTATCTTCGGACAAGATAATGTGACAACAGGAGCTTCCAATGACTTCATGCAAGTTTCAAGGGTTGCGAGGCAAATGGTCGAGAGGTTTGGCTTCAGCAAAAAGATCGGTCAAGTGGCCATTGGTGGGCCCGGTGGAAATCCCTTCCTTGGCCAGCAGGTAACTCATCTGAGTACAACATTTAAAGAATGATTATTACTTCTCCTCAGCAAAGTCGCGTTTTTTTTTTTTTT